ACTACGAACTTCCGAAACATTGGAAGGTCTCTTCATGGGATTTATCGCTTCTATTTTTACCGGATCCTTATGTAATCCGTCTTTATTAATAATGTATCCGCAGTACAAAATTTGCGGCATGAAAAATTCACTCTTTTCCATATTTACGCGAATATTGTATTTTTCCAAACGACTTAAAACTAAACGCAACTTTTGTAGATGATCTTTCGTATCAATGCCTGCGTATGTCATCGAGAAAAACTACTACTCCCGGAATATCTTTTAATATATTTTCAATGGTGCGTTGCCATATCACTGGCGCTGCTGCGACACCATACATTAAACGTGTAGATCTATAGAGACCCTTGTGCGTGCTCAAAGTTAACAGGGAACGGTCTTCCGGCCGAACCTCTAATTGTAAATAGGCCTGTAGCAAATCTATTTTAGAAAAAACTGTACCACCGGCCATGAAAATCAGTAATTCATCCGCCGTAGGTAACGGATGTTCGTCGATCAATAACTGTGGATTCAGTGTTACGCTGAAATCCCCGCAGATACGTACTTGTCCGCTTTTTTTAATAACCGGAACTATGGGTGTAGTCCATTCGGAATGATCGACTTTTTTTAATATTCCTTCAGAAACTAATTTATCTAATTCCTCCTCCACCAAACAACGTAAACGAAAAGGAACTTGGCGCGCTTTAATAAACACAGGCTTTGCTTTATCTTTTAGCGTAAGCCTTGCTTGCATATTCGAAATTTTTGCAATGGCTGCATTCGAAAATTAGAATAAATTAGAAAATTCTTTCAATAACTTTTGTAATTCTAAATTACTCGCGTCATCAACTTTGTGCAATGTATGTAATTGTCCCCGAAATTGATGCATTACTTTATTATTTTTCATTTGCAAGATCCATTCTCGACCCAGCAATGGCTTGCGTTCTTGCATTGAAACATACAAATTTAATTCACGAGAATTTTTACCACCTTGCACCTCTACCACCATGTAACCAAGCACTTTAACCTGTCGCTTACAATATGAAAATAATTGTATATCCGATTCGTGAATTTTATTTTTCGGAAATAATCTATTCGCAAGGGACTGAGAAATTAAAGTAACGGCCGCACCGCTGTCGACCTCGAACTTAATATTCTTATTATTAACTATCCCAGCAAACGAAAAAAGATTGAAAAGAATTAAAACGGGATTGCCAAGAATTCAATTAAGGACTTTCCGAATTCCATTCTGTCCAAAAAAAGGATTGAAATAGTTTCAATATCATGGAATTCCTTATTTTGGAAAGAATTTGTCTTTTTTGAATCCCATCCAATTCCGACACAAAAATATTATACCACTAAATGCCAGGTTAGGGATTGGAAAGTTTCGTGATGAATTCCATTGAATACCATTGATTCCGTTAACGAAATGAATACCACTGAATGCCAGGTTAGGGATTGGAAAGTTTCGTGATGAATTCCATTGAATACCATTAATTCCGTTAACGAAATTAATACCATTGAATGCCAAACTAGGAATTAAAAATTTCCGTATTGAATTCCATTGAATTCCGTCTATTCTGACAATAAAATGAATACCATTGAATGCCAGGATAAGGATTGAAAATCCGGCGTCGCGCCGAAGTAGCCGCCGGTACTACAGCTACCGCTGAGTTATCGCGCGGGCGTGTACTCAAGTGGCGTAGACCGCCACAGTGTGCACCAGTACAGAGTAGCGCGAATGACTGAATTCGCTGTAATAAATATGGTTTAAGAAATTAAAATAAATTATTTCAATTCAGATATTAAACTAAAATGAAATGAAAGGGATAGAAGTCGCCTAATATATTTTTCTTACTATAGAAGATTAAACATAAACATAATTTAATGAGATAAAGATATAAGATTATAATAAAGAGCAATTATATTAAGTAGAAAACTATATCTTTATTGGTCCTAAGTAACAGTTCACAAGCAAAGTCTTCGACATTAGATTTCTGTATTGGCATATATTCGATGTACTGATTTTTTCTCAGAGAAAGTAAATCGACAGAAAGCAATATCAAAGAGAGGATTTAATAAACTAATAAAGAGTATAAACTTTTTGGCAAATTATATAATTATAATTAGCTTCTAATTTCTTCATAATTAATGAAATAAATTTGCTTGTTTTTTTAGAACTTTGGAATCAAGAGACACGGTAATGTCTCGCACCAAGTACACGCGAAGCGAGACACACCGTGACTCTTTTACGCGACGCGACAAGTTGTAAGTACCCGAAATTTTAAAATCTCGATAATGACTGAACGGATCGAGTTCTGAGTAGGCTCAATCGATAGCTTGGGGTCGATTTATATAATAAGTGTTTTTATTTTCCTCTACGTGCCTTAAGAATGAAGATATTACGATGCAAAGTCCAAAATGTAAATATTTTCTATTAAGATACGTTGGTATCATCATCGCCGCATCACTTTCACTTTTTCGATACTATGGGGCGTTAATATCGCTTCTAATGATATTTTTCTCCGCGTGTGCGGCGATATTTTTATCGAGCTAGCAGGTAAATCAGGTATTATCAACCCAGCGAGTAAATCCATTCGAGTCGATATATCTGGCCTATATTCTGAGCAGCCTGCTTGACGGCCATAATAATAATAATAAGAAAAGTTGATATATTGATATATGTATACGTGTACACCCAGCAAACGAAAAAAGATTGAAAAGAATTAAAACGGGATTGCCAGGAATTCAATTAAGGACTTTCCGAATTCCATTCTGTCCAAAAAAGGGATTGAAATAGTTTCAATATTATGGAATTCCTTATTTTGGAAAGAATTTGTCTTTTTTGAATCCTATCCAATTCCGACACAAAAATATTATACCACACTGAATTCCAGGTTAGGGATTGGAAAGTTTCGTGATGAATTCCATTGAATACCATTGATTCCGTTAACAAAATGAATACCATTGAATGCCAGGTTAGGGACTGGAAAGTTTCGTGATGAATTCCATTGAATACCATTGATTCCATTAACGAAATGAATACTATTAAATGCCAAACTAGGAATTAAAAATTTCCGTATTGAATTCCATTGAATTCCGTCTAGTCTGACAATAAAATGAATACCATTGAATGCCAGGATAGGGATTAAAAAGTGTCCGTGTTGAACTCTGTGGCGGTACGCGCCACCAATAGTACACGCCCGCGCGGTATCTGCATTACCGGCAGTTCGCGTCGACGCTGCTAGGCGTCGCATCGCCGGGGCATCTTCTCGAGTTCAAAGTTTCGTCTCGACCGCTATGTAAAGGGACCCCCTACGGTGCCTGACAGATCTTACAAATCTCATTTTCGGGCTAATTGCCCGTCGGCAGTAGTGCGTGTAATGCCCTTAGGCATACACAAAAGCTCACCGACGAACAACGGCGCTTGGTCGCCCAACGGAGGCGCGAGACGTTTTCTAAACCATCTAATGCCATGCAATTTCATAACCTTTACGGATTCCATAGGATTGGATGGAATTGAAATTTTTCTTTTTTGGATTCCATGGGATTGGACCATCTCATTTCGAATCCCATCTAATTTCATCTAATTCCGCCAAAAAAGGGATTCAAAAATATTAAAAAATTTCAATATCTTTTAATCCTTTTGCGTTTGCTGGGCATACTGCGCTCAATGCAGTCAGTGCGTTTAGTGCGCTGTAAGTCAGTTATAACCTAGAAATAGTGACGATCATGACCGTCGCCGCGTGATAGCTATCTAGATAGTGAAATATATATTGACGGCAGGGAGCTGATACCGAGGAGATCAATGAACCTATTCTTCATTTTACCGGAGACTATTCGGATGCATAGCTCCTTAAGGACGCGTCAGCGACCATATGTTCCGCAATTTGTTGTTATTGCTAATTTGTAAATAATTAAAAAATAAAAAATGGAAATTTTTTGCCGATACTTGCTTATCATTACGAAATGCATGATATTAGTACAAAATTGCCTTTTTTAAAAAAAAGGTAAAAAAAGGCGCCAAGTACACGCGCAATGTATGTTGTAAATCCAAAAATCTTAAATAGTAGTAGCTTTATTTCTCCTTAAGAAAATAATTGTTGCGCAACTACTTTTAAAATATAAAACTCAAGTGGTACGTATCTTTGTATTTTCATTCAAGGATTTTCTCGTTCCAACCCAAGCTTTAATTCTTTTTAATAAAATTATAATATTGTTGCGCCCGAGCCGAGACGCCCGGTAGAATCCCGGAAGGCAGTCGCAAAGCGCTGCCTGACGACGTGCTTGACGACGGGACGGGCCTGTCGTTGTTTGTTGACAGATGTCGGCATTCAGATTCTTCGCTGGGTCTTCGTGTCGAACAGACGTGTTCACGAGCCCTTCGTTGTATTCGCATATTCTCATTAAACGAGTTCTTTTCTACCAGAGAGAGTCTTTATTCCCGGCAACGGGATCGCGCGCCGCGTTCGCGAGTGTGTGCGTGAGTGTGTGTGTAGCGAACGCGCGGACGAGCGCAACAATATTACAAAGAATCATTTTAATCACAAAGAATTAAAGAGATAACAGTACAAAATAAAAATATTTAATTAAAATAAAATAAATAAATTTTTCTTGTAAAAAAACTTGGCATATATAACTAAATTTACTAAATATTTTACTTTAATATATTTTGACACAAAATATAAAACATTTTATAAAATATTCTTTCTTTAATTACCTTACTTTAATCTTTTAAAGTATAGGAAAATAAGATTAGTATTAAAAAGCTAATTGTTTTCAACAAATGTACGCAATTGAAACCAACTTTAGGGTTTATCTAAGGGTTAAAAAAATTTACATTATTTTATTTATTGCACATCTTTATTTTGAGATACATTAGAACGGCAAAAATTACATGTATTATTATTTTTTGTCTTGCGTTAAAAAATGATTTTTAAGAAGAAAAGCTTGTGGGAAAATTTGATATTAAACAGTACCTTTAAGAAAGGGAGAGAGAAAGGGAGAGAAAGAAGAAAACGTTATTTTGCTTTCTATTAATATCATTATATTTATAACAGTAGCAACTGTCTGTTTCTGCTGACAAGACATATTGCAACTCTTATTTGCTTTTCCATTTTTTTTCGTGCCATTACTTTTTATATTACATCTTTAATCTTTCGATCGGATTTAATATTTAATTTCATATATTTTCTGACCGATCCAATTTCCACTTGGACCATAATTGCAAACTAGGTATTTCGTATTCCAGCCGTATGAGTTATAATTTATTAGTCCGCAGCCTATTGTTGTTGTGTCAGCCCAGACCACTTGGGTATAGTGGCCTGTATTCGGATCAAATCTATAAATAAATTATTTTACAGACACATTGAAAAATATGTTATAAATGCGTTTTTAGAGGTATTTTATGATCAATACTAGTGTATATATACATATATAATATTATTTACACGCAATTTTTTCTTATATACAGGATGTTTCTTAAGTACAAAAAATTGAAAGAGATATTTTTTGGCTTATTATTTTAGGAAGAAAAAGTCCTATAAACATATGCCTTCCAAGTACTTTGTTTTTAAAATACAGGGTGTCAAAGTTGTGAAAAAATATAAAAATATAAAAAATCTGGAAAAAGTTTATATATTTTGTTCAGTATGCGTACATGTATTAAGAATTATTTTCCAGTCGCATCGTTTCAAAAAACACTAGAGGCATTTTTTGTAGAGTTTTAGTTCAGAAATTTAAAAAAAATTGTTAAAATTGGAAAAAAACAATGTCGTGCTATTTTCTCAAATAGTTAAAAGAACTTAATATGAATACTCATACGCGCACGCCTCTAGTGAATTTGAAAATGTTTTATTGGTACTGGAAAATGGTTCTTAATATTACATGTACTAAATTTGAATAAAATATCTTTAAACGTTTTCCAAATTTTTGAAATTTTCATATTTTTTTCACAACTTTGACACTCTATTTTGAAAACAAAGCAGTTTAGAGCATATGTTTATAAGCTCTTTTCTTCTTAGAATAAGCCGCGGAATATCTCCTTCAATTTTTTGTACTTACTTTGGAAACACCCTGTATACATAGATATCTTTACATATGAAAGTCTTGATGCGATTTGAGGAATTAATTTTTATCTTAGCATATTTGTAAATATGTGTAAAATATACAGTGTCCTAAAATTTGACCGACAAACTTCGAATTATAAAGAACACTATAACAAGCATTTTTGACAATGAACCCGCAAATATTCCTAAATGACCTATTTTGACACAAGAGTAAATCAAAGCTAGTTGAAATTCAACATTATTTTCAGGGTTCGTGAATTCATAAACCGACGTTGCAATCTCTGTATGGAAGTAAACAGTCACTACTTCGAATAACTACTGTAAATACTTCAGTTCAAAAATCATTCTAGAGTCAAAATGGTTCATTTACAGACATAAGGACAATAAATGCTTGTTTTGTTGTATGATGTCCTTTATAACTACGAAGTTTGTCGGTCCAATTTTGGGACAATGTGATTAGAATATTCAATATTAGAGAGATACTTACTGATATCTGGAAACTTGATTTCTATCGAACAAAGCTACTTCATCGTACCAGGATTGGATAAAGCTTTCTACAGTGAATCTGTTTTCTCCCGAAGAGTATCCTATAGCTGCGTTCTGACCAACTGCAAATCTACCTGTAATAACACATGTTACTTGCTAATAAATGAATTAAAAAATACATATATTTAATTTACAATCATATATAATTAAATATGTAAGTCGGTATTTACCCACATCTCTGCATTGGTCATGACCAAAATTGCATTGAATGACCCATCTTTGCGCAATCTCTTCTAATTCGTTATCCCAGGTCTAAAAACATGTGTGTGCGTATATTGTATACATATAATACTGTATGTGTGTGTGCGTGTACGTGCGTTTGTGTATACGTGTGTGAATCCGTGCGTGTGCGTGTGTGTGCTTGTATGTGATGTAATTGTATATGGAATATGTATATATGTATGTGCATAATTTTACATATCGTTATATTATATAAATTTTAATTTGAAATAAATATTTAATTTAAATATGTCTTTCCTCGTATTATACAGCATATAAAATTATATTATTCAGTATTCTGTCTTCAGAATTTTCTCGTTTATTATAATCACAAACCATCGGAAGAAACTCTAAGTACAATGTTTTTATGCACTTGCTTTAGGTATTGTATATATATATATATATATATATATATAGACGAACACAATGTTACCATAATCAACCGCTTTGCGGAATTAAAATCAATTGAATTAATGTTCGTTAATATTAATTGTTACTACACCGATTTTTAGTTTATTTAAAAAAATAATATATAAGAAACAATTGAATCTTTAAGCCAAAGCTACCGCGGTTAAGGGAATCCTGGAGTGACGGCCGGACTCCGACGGGAAAGCGCCCTCATCTAAGCGAAATTAAAAATATCGATTATTTTGATCATTCTGTCCTTATCCAACGAGATCCTACGAGATATCTGTCCTTGTCAGATTGCAACGCCATGTACACTGCGTGTGTGTACATACATGCATAAAATCTGCGGTCAGTGAAAATTTTTCTTATTAGGCTTTTAATCTTAGTTTCAATGATTCAACGTTGTTCTTTGATCTAGTCCGATTAGTGGGGTACTTTTGATTTGCACACGTAAGCTATATAATTCGTATATTAAACCGAAAGTTTCTATGAAGTGACAGCTCTAGGTACAAAAAGTTAGGTATACACCAAGTAGTATCAAATATAATTTTTTCAATTTTTTCAAATTTTTAGTCTTCAATTTACCACTCCACCCATCATTTCTGTATGTACTTTAAACGTGTTAAAGGGATTTCAAATCTGTAAAGCCAATTCGCAGAAAATATACCTATGTCAAATATCGGTCATGCCGCCACTCTAGGATCCCCTTAATTTTACTTCTCTCTAAAGAATATAAATAAAAATTAATTGCTCGAAGTAAATTAGAATGTATGTATGTATTCAATGTCTTTCCGATTATTTTATTATTTTTTAATTTACTGTAATAAAATATATGTATTATGTCTTACCAAATCTGGCATTCTAACCGCTGGAGGTTGCGGACCTGGGTTTCCTCTCTTTTCCTGACCCGACGCAACTTTTCGTCTCAGTTCATTGTGTTTATTTACTATAGCCTTCCTTTCAGCATCACTAAAGCCAACACTAGATACCTGTCCGCATGCTCCCGCTGGTTTTGATGACTATTGACATGATTTTGTGAAATTAGTTATATGAGTATGTACATTCCTAATATATAGGTAAAATCCTCTTATTAAGAAATCTTAACGAGACTTCCGGGACTGAGTAAGTAGAGAGAAGCACGCCTGTCAAACGCGTCAGTGTTTTTTCGAACTTATCTGTCGTTTATTCGCCGTGGGGCGACTTTGTTTCAGGTAGTTTGCACGTTTGCATGCACAGATATGCATCAGGATCTGACTGCAGATATAAATCGGCAGTGTAGGAGTCGAACTACAGACGAATTCGGGGATTCTGAGTTGCTGCGACAATTTGGAGGTTAGGTGATAGAAGCGGAAACAGGCATGGAGAAACCGGAGTCGGAGTAGCACAAAAACATGTCGATAAAGAAGAGAATGACAGGAGGAAAGAGGTGTTGAAGAGATAAAAAGCAAGAAAAGGATTTAGATGGACGAGAAAAAGGAGGAGGGCAAGAAAAAGGATATTAACTCGAAGAAAGGAGAAAAGAAGAATAGGATGATAGAAAAAGATAGAATTACGTGGGGCAGACCCACGAGGGCGGTGGAGCTGTCAAGAATAAGAGATAGAACGGGAAGTCAAGAATTAATTATAGAATACGTAAAGAAAAGAGAAAGGGAGGAAGAAAAAGAAATACTGGAAAATTTTAGTAAAGAAAAAAGTGATAAGATCGCCGCCAAACAAGATAAAAAGAGAGAAAAAGAAGGCATGGAGGCGGAAAAAATGCTGATTTTAGCGAAAATGGATGAACAAGAGAGAGAAAGAAAGAAGGCTAAAGAAGAGAAATGAAAGAGATACACGACCTGAGGGAGGAATATAGAAAGAGAGAAATGCTTTTGGAAGGGCAAAAAGCGAGTTTAGAAAATAGAATAAAACAGCTGGAGGAGAAAATGGAAAAAGTGGAGAACAGTGGAGATGAAAAGTTAGAGAGCAGTGAACTAATAATGAAAAAGATGAAGGAGATGGAAAGAAACTCCGAATTAACCGAAAGGAGAAAAAGGAAAAATAATATAATTATAAAAAAAATGAAAGTAGAAAATGGAGGTGAAATAAAAGAGAAGATGGAGAAATTCCTTGAAGAAATCACCAAAAAGAAGGTGGAAGTAGACGAAATGCAGGCAATTGGCCGGGGAGAGTACAAAATGACGCTAGTCAGATTCAATAGATGGGAGGATAAAAGAGAAATAATGGCAAAGAGGAAGGAGATAGGAAGAGCAAGAAAGATATTTATGGATAACGATCTGATGGCAACAGAGAGACAGATACAAAAACATCTATGGAGTATAGTAAAAGTAGAGAAAGAAAAGGGGAAGAAAGCAACGGTATATAGGATATCAAAAAATATGGATAGACAATTGCGAAAGGAAATGGAATGAAAACACCGAAATGCTAGAAAGCAGAGGTGTTTTTCGGAAAGAGTAGAGAAGAGAGAAGACAGGGAGAGAGAGAGAGAGAGAGAGAGAGAGAGAGAGAGAGAGAGAGGAGGGAGAAGAGGAAGATAAGGCGAAAAAAGGAAGAGGATTAAGGATGTGCTTTTGGAACGTGGCGGAACTAATTAATAAATGTGAGGAAACATGGGATTATTTGGAGAATTTTGACGTGATAAGACTAGTAGAAACATGGATAGAAGAAGATAAATGGAAGAAGATTAAAAATAAGTTGTCCAGCAAAATTTGGAATTGTGTACCAGCGTAAAGGAAACACAGGAAAGGAAGAGCAAAAGGAGGGATAATAAAAGCAGTCAACAAGAATTTGAAACTTATAGAGATTAGGAAGATAAGCGACGAGGTGGTAGAAAGCTGACTAGAGTATCATGGAAACAAATGGAGACTAATCACGTTGTACAGTCAAAAGATAGAAGATACGATGGAAACACTAAGGGAGAAGGTACAAGAAGAGGATGAAGAATGATTGCTGGTAGGAGGTGATTTTAACGCGAGGACGGGAAGCAGAGGAGGACCGATAAATGAGGAAGAAAAGAAAGAAAAGAGGAGCGAGATCAGAAAGTCAGTAGATAAAGTTGTAAATAGAGAGGGACGTATATTAATAGATAAAATAGAAAAAAGAGGATGGGCGATATTAAATGAGAGTTTCGGAAGGGAAGGGGGATAGACTTATATAGGAGACTTAGGATCATCGGTTATAAATTATGTCTTAGGGAATGACAGAGCAGGAGAAGAAATAAATATGGTTGAAGAAAGAATTAGAACGGAATTGGACCATGTTCCGCTGGACGTGGAGTTAACAGGACCACAGGTGATGGACACAGGGAGAAGGAAGAAAGAAATGGAACTAGAGAGAAGCAACTGGACAGAAAAAGGGAGAAAAGAATATCATGAGAAATGTGAAGGATGGTCGAGTACACGAATAAATATCTGGAAGGAGATGAAAGAAAAAGTAAAAAACGCTATCACAAAGCATAAGAAAAGGATAATACCATGGAGATTAGGAAGAAGAGAATGGTACAATAAACAATGGAAGGAACGGAAAAGAAGATTGAGGAGATTGATGAGGGGCTGGAAGAAGGAAAGGATAGGAAAAGAAGAGTATGTGAGGAAAAGAAAGGAGCACAAGGAATGGTGTAAGGAGCAGAAGGGGAGTCATGAAAGCGAGGAAGAAGAAAAGATAAGAAACATTAAAAACGAAGCGGAAGCTTGGAAGTATATAAATAAATACAGGAAAAAAGAAAACTAAGGAAATAAACGAAAAGATACAAAAGGATGAGTGGAGAGATCACTTCATGGAAATGTTAGGAGGGACAAAGGAAAGAGTGGTGCTAGACATAGAAGACGAGGGAGAAGAGGATGGCACGAGAGTGGAAGTAACAGAGAGAGTCGAAGAAATATCGAGAGAAGAGGTGATTGAAGTAATAAAGAAACTGAAGATAGGAAAGGCAACAGGAAAGGACGGGATTGAGAACGAGGCGTGGAGATTTATGCAAAAGGATGTAGGTGAAGAATTCCTGAAATTAATCAACAAAATCTGGAAAGGAGAGGGCATACCGGGAGATTGGAATAAAGGTATGATTAGTCCAATACCTAAAAGAAGAGAGAGAAACGACCTGAAAAATTACCGGGGAGTTACCTTTAACGAATACGGCGTACAAAATATATGCAAGTATCTTAAATGCGAGGTTGCAGAAGGAGGTGGAGTCTAAGTTAAGGGAAATGCAATTCGGGTTTAGAAAGAACAGAGGAACGATGGATGCAGTATACACGATAAACTATGTAGCGAATAAGGAGCTGAGTAAGAAAAGTAGAAAGGTTTTTGCATTCTTTGTTGATTTCTAGGCAGCTTTCGATAAGTGGATAGAAGGAAATTGAATGAAACAATGAGGAAGATAGGAATTGAAGATAACTTGAGACGAAGAATAATGGAGACATACAAAGAAACGAAAAATGTAGTGAAGATAAAGGATAAAATAACAGAGGAATTTTGGACAGAAAAGGGACTAAGACAAGGATGCCCGTTGAGCCCGAACCTATTCAATTTATACATAATGAATTTAGAGGAAGGAATGGAAAAAGGACAAGCCGGAGACTTTGTGATAGGGAAAGAAAAATTCTGGACAATATCATATGCAGATGACGTAGTGTTAATGGCGACGAGAGAGGCAGAATTGAAGGAAATGATAAGAAGGTTTAAGAGGTATTTGGAAAGGAAGGGTTTGAGTTTGAGTCCAGAGAAATAAAAAATAATAGTGTTCGAGAAAGCTTAGGGGAAGAAGGAAGAAAAGGGAGTGGAAATGGGGAGAAGAAAACATAGAGGTCAAAGAAATAAAGTATCTGGGATATACATGTACAACAGAAAAATGGGGGAGCGGAGAATCATATAAAAGATAGGCTGAAGAAGGCTACAATAGCGATGAAGAGGACATGGAGCATAGGAGAGAGAATATTTAAAGAAAATTTTAGAAGAAGAATGAAGATGTTCGAGGCACTGGTAGAAACCGTGGCATTATACGGAGCTGAAATATGGGGGTGGCTACACGACAGTACATTAGATGTGATAATAAGAAAGTATGTTAAATTGATTTTAGGATTGGATAGAAGAACCCCGAATTATATAATATCAGAAGAAGCCAAAATAAAGAAAACAAAAATGAGAGCAATAAGGAGAGCTGTGAGGTATGAGGAAAAGTCGAGACAGTCAGAGAAGAAAATAGTTCAAGCATGTATAAAAGATCTAGAGCGGAGCAGGCCAAGGAAAGAGGAAAGTAATTGGGAGAAGAAGAAAAGGGAACTGAAAGAGAGGCAGGAATGGACAAAGAGCAGCTGAGGAGAGAAATGGAGGCAGAGAACCGGGAGGCAGCGGAGAATTTTGTAAAGAGAATAGAGAAAAAGGAGAAGGAGGAGAGACAGATAAAGATAAACGAGTCAAGATACAATAGTAACTAAAGAGATTTTAACAGAGGAGTTAACAAAGTATTTACTAGAACAAAAGAAGAAAAAGGAATAGAATATGTTAATAGCCAGATACAGATGCAGGAGTGAGGTGAAAGGCAGTCAACATTGGAGAGAGGAAGAGGATATGAGATGCCAAAAAGAAGAGAAGAACATAAAACATATACTAAAAGAATGTGAAGCGACAAAAAACGAGATATAGTTAAAATAATTTTTAGGAGAGGAAGGAAAAGGACTAGAAGTAATGAAATGGATAAAAAAGGTTAGAAAAGAGGCGGAGAAAAGGGATGAGATAGAGGGAGAGGAGTAGGAAGGGAAATTGAAAGACAGTTAGAATGTTGAATTAGTTTTGGAGTTAGTTAGGATGATCAAAGTGATATATAATATATATGTATGTAAAAGAGAAAGTTATATGTTTGTAAAATTTATGTTATATGTTTGTAAATTTATGTAAGGGTTGATAGAAGTCATCCTAAGCAAGGCAAGAATTAAATAAAATAATAATAAAATAATAATAAAGAAATCTTAACGATATTGATTTCTAAAAAAGAGAAATAAAAATTTTTATTTAGACGAAAAATAATTTAAATAAAATAATTTTTTTTTATATTATACAATGTAGATTAAAGTGTTACAAGCTGTTACTTCAGAAAGTATGCTTCACACCAAAAAATATCTTACTTAGTTGATAAGTAGATAAAAGGGTAATTATGTAGAATAACTAACACAGCTCGGATTACTTTGACCTTGACATATGTTGTCAAGGTCACCCTCCTGAGTGACCTTCAGAAGGTTTTAGCCGGCGGTCATTGTTTATTAAAAAGTTATAAACAAAAAAAGTTTGAAAAATATAGCAGCTATTTTGAGTATTGGAAGAC